GGATGGATGGATGGATGGATGGATGGATGGATGGATGGATGGATGGATGGATGGATGGATGGATGGATGGATGGATGGATGGATGGATGGATGGATGGATGGATGGATGGATGGATGGATGGATGGATGGATGGATGGATGGATGGATGGATGGATGGATGGATGGATGGATGGATGGATGGATGGATGGATGGATGGATGGATGGATGGATGGATGGATGGATGGATGGATGGATGGATGGATGGATGGATGGATGGATGGATGGATGGATGGATGGATGGATGGATGGATGGATGGATGGATGGATGGATGGATGGATGGATGGATGGATGGATGGATGGATGGATGGATGGATGGATGGATGGATGGATGGATGGATGGATGGATGGATGGATGGATGGATGGATGGATGGATGGATGGATGGATGGATGGATGGATGGATGGATGGATGGATGGATGGATGGATGGATGGATGGATGGATGGATGGATGGATGAGTGGATGGATGAGTGGATGGATGCATGGATGGATGGATGGATTTATGGATGGATGGATGAGTGGTTTAGTGGATGGATTGATGGATGGATGCATGCATGGATGGATACATGGATTTGTGGATGGATGGATGGATGGATGGATGGATGGATGAGTGGATGGACGGGTGAGTGGATGGATGAGTGGATACATGAGATGATAGGTGAGTTGATGGAGGAGAGGGGTCATGTCAGATGCCACTGTGGAGCGTGTCTTTCCCAGTTGACTTAAATGCTGCTTTCGACGGACATAACATTGGGGTCAGAACTTCTTTCTCCGTGTGATCACTTCTAGGAGCATTTCAACTCTTATGTCATCACCAAATCTCTGCAAGATGTTTACTCACAGACAAGAAAATTAGGCTTCGGGGGGCTTGCCTAGCCCAGGGTGACCCAGCCGCAGGTGCCACATCCTTCTCGCAGCCCTGAGCAGCCCCAGAGCCCAGCAGGCCCATGCCCTCTGTCCTGCAGCTCGGCACAGGGGCCTGGCCAGTGGTCCTGAGGGGAGACCACCTTGTGGGTGATGCTGCAGCCCCCTGTGAACCCGCATGTGGACATCTGGGGGAGAGGCCCTGTGACGTGGGCACCGGCCAGGACCTTGGACTCTCCCTGTGGCCTGTTATAGGGGCTGAGTACTCAGCCTGGAGAGCTGGCCTGGACCTGCTGAGGAGTGGCCTGGAGGGGGCAGTGTTTGTGCCGGGGGACCGCCATAGTAGCCACTGAGGAGAAGGCTTTTTTCCGGCATATCCAACCTGGATACGGGCCCAGCTAAGCCCCTCCTCCTCTCCCACGTCACCCACAGCCGCCTCCACTGCTCCTCAGAGCAGCCTGGTGTGCCGGCTCTCCCACCCAGGCCTCATCAGACCCTGCTCTGTTCCTTCAAGATTCGTGCTTCTCTGAGCATAAATGTAAGTCCAAGCAGAGCACCCTTTCCCAAAACTTCCCTCTGGTCTTAAAGTAAAATCCAACTCCTAATTTTGGGCTTCCAGGCCCTGAAGGACGGTCCCCTGCCAACGTCTTCCCCCTCCCCCTCCCCCCGGCCCCTCCATCCTTCTGAGCAGGCCTTTGCAGCTAACCTTCTTCCTGGGCAGAGCTCCATCACGTGTCCCTCCTTACGGCAGGGACTGTGCCTGTGGGCTCCGTGGAGGACGTCCCCGGGCACCATGGGCAGCTCAGAGCAGGGCCCAGGAGCTCTGCCCGATGCCCCAGGGCAGTGCAAGGTCAGCATGGAATAAACAGCACCCAGGGACACTAAGTGTGCCTTTGGCCTCTTCTAAAGGACTTGGTTCACGGCTCTCTGTCAAAAGAGGGAGAGGAGGAAGGAGGGGTGTGCGGTGGGCCCCCCTGAAGAGCTGAGGCCTGCGAGGAGGAGGAAAGGAGAAGATTCCTAGCAGGCGGCAAGGACCGCAAGATGAGAACACACTGCTGCTCCGTGGTGTGTCCCCGTGGCCCCTGCTCCTGCCAGCTGGGTTCTCTTTCCCACCGAGTCCCTGGGCGGAGGGAGGGAGGCAGGGCTAGGGCCTGGGCACACTGCCTGCAGCCCTGAGCATCGGCCCAAGGACCAGAGGACAAGTGTGAGCAAAGCTCCTCCTGACCCAGGCCCACGGGAGTGGGCTGTCCACCACACGTGGGTGTGCAACACCAAGACTGAGGCTTCATTCAGGGGAAGCGCTGAATTCAGCCAATAATACTGTAGAGTTAAGCCGTCCAAACCCGATGGGAGGGTGCTCTTTTCTGTGTTCACATTTAGATTTATTATAAAAGTAAGAACAACAAACCCACCACCTCTTCCCACTCGAGTTGAAAATGAGGCTTGAACAGCGGACACCACCCGGCTGGGTGGTGGGTGGGGTGCAGGCACCCAGTGGACCCTTGGCCCCGGAGGAAGAGGCCTGGGTGGGGCAGGCACAGGGCCTGGCCCGCAGGGTGATCTTTGCTGGGCTCTTCTGCTCTCCCGGTGAGGTGCCCACAGGGCTGTGCTGACAGCCCTCCTGCGTGGCCCCTGCGTGGAGGGGTCATTGTTGGCTTTCCCTCCTGAGCCCCCGGGGCCGCTGCTGGGTCAGCCCTTCCCAGGAAGCCTGCTAAGGCCGATCCAGAGGGCGAGGGTCACCCCCCAGCCTGCAGCCACCACGATGCAGCCGCTCACTTGTGAAGGGATGTTGCATGGACACCCCCTGCAGGGCCACAGGCAGCCCTGCCACCCTGTGCTGGCTGGTGCTCACCTCCCGGGTGGGGGCTGAGACCGGGGTCCCAGCTCAGACGCCGACCTCGGAGTCCAGCGGGCACTCAGACGGGGAGGCGAGCCGGCCTTGCGCTTCACCCCTCTGGGCTCCTGCTTCACGGGGGGACCTGGTAGCAGTGACCCACTCTGGGCCACGCCCCCATACCCACTGGCCACCAAGTTCCCTGTCACTTTAGATATAAAGTAGAAAGGGGAGCGCCTTTGTGGCCCGCCCAACCCAGGCGGGTTGATCCCCGGGCCCTGCTGCCTCCCGGGCGCCCTCTGCTGGGAGCTTTGGGGAGAGGGTGTCAAGGCTCAGCTGCCTCTGCCGCCCTTTCCTTTGGTGGCCTGTCCAGCGGCCTCGAGGGGCTGGCCATCGAGGGGAGGAGTGCTTGAATCAAACCGTCAGAGAGAGCTGCCACTTCACGGAGCACCCATTCATTGTAACTCAAAGACTGGCATCACATTTATTATTATCTTTTGTTAAATATTTCCGATCTTTTCGGAGCACGCGGTGTACAGGGCATGGTAGGTGTTCTTCCCGGTACATTTCTGTGTGCGCAGCGGTGACAGAGGAGAGGTGGCCGGGGGCGGCCCGGGGCCAGGCTGTGCACCTGCAGCACACGGGCTCCGCTAACAGCCTCTGGACCCCGCTACCAGGTTCCCCTGAGACCCAGTCTCACAGTCAGGTGACATCCACGAAGCAGGCCCTGCGGGGACCGCGAAGATGTCACCCGTGTCGCTGTCCTACAGAAACGATACACAGTGAGGGGGGGGGCGGGGGAGGGCGTCTGTGGGCAAGCCCCTGCTCGCTGCACGGCGCCTGTCCTGCAAGCGTCCCGTGTGTGTGTGTGTGTGTGTGTGTGTGTGTGTGGTGTGTGTGTGTGTGTGTGTGTGTATGGGGGTGCGGGGGGGTCTCTGGTGCTAACTGGGAGGAGGTCTTTCTCCTTCTGAGGGTGGGTGGCTGGGCAGTGTGAGCTGGGATGGGGGTCTGAGCAGACTGGCTGCAGCCTCCAGAGGTCCTGGCTGCTCCCCGGTGACGACAGAGGCTTGAACTGCCAGGGCGCCGACGTCAGGCAGAGACCAGGCGTAGAAGACGGCCCCTGAGGCCACAGAACATCCCCGATGCCTGGTGGCCTGGAGCAGCGCTGGGTGGTCCCCGGGGCCAGCCTGGGCGCCTTCCTGTGGAATCCCCGCTCGGAAGGACCTTCACAGCTTGGCGGGGCCTCCTGGCAGATCAGGTCCCAGAGGGGAGGACCCGGTGCTTTCTCAGGTGGGGCTGCTCCAGGCGTCTGGGCCGTCTGAGCCAGGCAGGGGGGCCGGCACCTTCTCCAGGAGAGGCTGTGGCTGCGTCTGCTGTGCCGGCGCCCACGGGGGGCCAGAGGCAAGGATCCTCTAGATTCAGAGAGAACTTGCGCCCTTCAGACTGAAGTTTTAAAAAGTAAATTCTTCATAGCAGCTCGGTTTCTGAAGTTCTAATGAAAAAGATCCGCAGAATCGGTCCCACACTCGGGGGAGGGTGCGTTGATGGCCACAGCAGGGACAGCTGCCCGAGGGGGTGGCTGGCAGGGCTCAGGGAGGAGCTCCCCGCCCCAGTTCCTCTTTGTGCTCTGGGATGGGGTCTGGCACCCTCCCCTCAGCCCGGGGCGACAAGGGAAGGCCTTCCCCGGGGAGGGGCTGCGTGGAGGAACAGCGAGTGAGGCGGGGCCGGGAGGCTGCAGCTCAAGCCTGGCTTCACCTGCAGCCCCTGTGACTGTCAGACCCTCGAATTCCTCCTCAGAAAATGGGGGTCACGCTACCACCCACCGTCGTGGGGGGAGGCCAGCAAAGGGGCATTCCCCTGGGAGTGCGGGGCCCAAGCTGGGCCCTGGGGATGTTAGCTACATGGAATCTGATCTGAAGGGAGAGGGGCCCGAGGGGACCCCGGGGAAGTCCTGGGCAGGGGTGGTGATGGAGGTCGGGGAGCCCTGGAGCCTGGGTTTTGCTCTTCATGGCTAGAGGGGGGGCTGACAGGGTGGAGGGAAGGCCTCCTGGCCCAACCAAAGGAGATGAGTTCCCAGCCTGGAGCTCCAACCCTCTGCCTGCCCTGCCAGGCATGGCCG